ATTCATGGAAAAAAATAACTAATTATGCAAATTAAGCAATTAATATGCACAATTATTGACCCTAAAACTAATCAGGTCTTTGCATAGTCCTAGAAGATCTATGTAGCAAGTCTCATTGAAATATGATGATCAGTACTTGAGTTATCAATGAAAAGCTGAAAATTAACTAATTATGCTAATAAGGTGATTAATATGCACAAATATTTACCCCAAAACTAATTAGGTCTCTGCACAGTCTTTAAGTAACTATGTACCAAGTTTCATTGAAATGTGATGATGACTACTTAAAATATCAAAAGCTGAAAATTAATTAATTATGCAAATTAGGTTATTAATATGTACTGATATTATCCTAAAAACTATCAGGTCTGTGCAGTGTCCTATGATATATATGTACCAAGTTTTATTGAAATATGATGATTAGTACTTGAGATATCAGTGGAAAAGCCAAAAATTGATTAATCATTATGCAAATTAGGTAATTACTATTGCACAGATTTTTACCCAAAACTAATCAAATCTGCGCATTAGTTCAGAGCATCTATGTGCCAAGTTTCATCAAAATCCAATGAGTGGTTCTTCAGATATCAGTGAAACAATCATGGAATAGCTAAAAATCAGCTAATTAGCATGCAAATTAGGTAATTAATATGCATGGTTTTTACTAAAATCTAATAAAATCTGTGCATTGGCACAGAGCATCTATGCACCAAGTTTCATCAAAAATCAATGCTTGGTTCTTGAGATATCAGTGGAACACACACACACACACACACACTAACTGCAAAAGGATTTTTTCCTATATTTTACATTCAACTCATCAAAAATCTGTGAAAATAAATTTCACACAAAACACCCAAAAAGTCGTTTCAGTGAAAATTACTAGTAATTCCAGCTAAAATAAAGTATTCTACAGTAAGTAATTTAGTAATACTACGTCCATGAGAATATTTTAAAATTGCAACAGTGGTAAAGTTTATCTGTGATTCAAATATGCTACTACCTAATTTTCTATATCTTAAGATTTTTGGATTGTTATCTCATTACATTATTACTAAAAGCAGAAAACAATGATAAGGTTGAAATAAGGTTGTCATAACAATAAGTATTCAGGCGGGACAGGATATCATCAACCCCTGCTATGAGTTGATCCATATGATCCCTGTAATGCCTTCGTGTATTTACTATATTCTTCTAATACCCTCAAATTATGCAAACTATATACTCTAGGTTACATAGCTTCTCACCATTATTATTTAGGGACGATGTCAAAATATCGATGTCGGATAAAAAACTTATTTGCTTTAGTTTGGGGGTGGGGGGTTTTAACCTCAAAAAGTTTCCATCCTACAAAAACGATTTTATTTTTAATGACGTCAAAAAAATCTTGGAGTATTTGTAGTTCGTTTTTTTCTATCCTGCCATGGACAAAAATAACAGAAAATGAAAAAAAAAACATCCAAGACGAGAATCAGAGAAAATGGTTTGGTCCGAGTGTAAACAAATATGTACGTCAAATGAGGCCAATTTCAGGACAGGACCTATAACCAACTGCCACTGTGTGAAACCAGCTATAATACTACATTTATCAGCCTGTATTTTTGCACGTATTTGCATTAAACTCAGGGATATACATACAAATACAGCTGTGTATTCATAACAATTACAAAGAAATACATCATGTATTCACATGTATATGCTATACTACTGTCCAATTATTAATTTGTATTTAATGGTGAATGTAGTCTGACGCCATGATCAATATTTATCGATTAAGTTTAAGTGAGGGGGGGGGGGGGGGCTAAAGGAATTAAGTTTTTTATCCTACATTGAACTTTTGATGTTGTCCCTTACCATTCATCCGCGGCAGGTACAAACACAGTTGGTCCCCAAACGATCCTTCTTTCAACCATAGTCTCCCCCTTACTGGCTTTGGTCTTGTATACTACTAACACTTGGTTTGCGTTCAATTTAGTTGCATCCTTAACTCGGATGATTTCCTGTTCTAATGGGTTATGAAAGATTTCACATGGCCCTGGTTTGTTTTCTAAACTTCCGTCTTTCCATTTTATGTACAAGTACTCGTAGTGTGTAGCTTTGAAGTGATGTAGTAACTGTACTCTTTCACGAAATAGGTAGACCTGTGAAGTAGAAATTAAATATATTATATTACATCTGCCACTGTATTGCCATAAGTTACAGTTTCCGGAATCATGCACAGGGAATCTACATCCTCCCATATTAGGAAACGACCTATCCAAATATGGAATTGAAGATGGCAAACACCTTTGAAAACAAACTTCATAGTAAGAACATTCTTATAGCTTTCATCTTTTTGTTTTAGTTCTGGACTTCCTAGATCAAGCAGATGGTTCATGGAGATGTATCATAATAAGGTTATTCAGAGGATACCACAAAGTAGGTACTCAGACAGTACGCGATCACATAAACCACCTTTACACATTAGTCGATACTCCCACTGTATTGTCTTCATGCAAACGTATCCTCGCAATAACCTTACACTACTGTAAACGCATCATCGTGCTGTCATCAGATCGAGCATACTATAATTTTACATTAATGGGTGAATTCAAAATATGGAATGATTACACAATAATTCCAATATGGCGAACATTTTTGAAAACCCAGGTCTAATAATTGTCACCATTTTGCTCAGTACGGGTCATTACTTTACAGGGTATTTTCATCCTACCATATTAGGAAATGCGAATTCCTAACGAATGATAACGCAAGTAAGCGACCTCTAATAATAAAAACAACCATGGCTGCCACAGGACTTCATACATGCCTGGTAGTCCACATTGAAACTATGAAGTAATCAATCAAGTTTTGATTATGCATTTGCTAGTAAGGTATACCCAATGCCATGTATATGGCATACAATGAAATTCTCATTCATGCTGATTTATTACTGTCTCTAATAATGTATAAATAAAGGAAACAATGAAATGTCACTAAACGTGACTTAATTTTCTTAATAAGGAAGGCTTTCGAACACGTCTATATGGCGTTTTACGAAGAGATAAATTCCATTGTTTTTGGTAACGTGAATAATAATATGAGGTTATTACGAGGATACTGCAAAGTATGCATGAGGACACTATAGAGGGAGTATCGACCGACGTGTAGTGGAGGTCGATGTAATCGTGTACTGTCTTAGTGCATATTTTGCATTATCCTCATAATAACCTTATTATTATACATCTTTTCTTCCCAGGAATACATCATGGGAATGCCGAAATCCAAAACATTCAGAACAGATTCAGCGAACTTCTTTGAGTGGGGTTCAGCCAAATCCTGGGGGCAGCAATGTTTGGTTTTAATTATTAGAGGATGCTTACATGCGTAATCGTTCCATATTTGGAATTCGCAGTTCCTAATATGGAAGGATGAAATACCCAGTGCAATACCGTAAAATTACAGTACGCTGTAACTTATGGCGTTACAGTAACAGATGTATAATAATAGAAAGTAACATGAATCACAAATATTAAAAAAAATATTAAAAATAATATTATTTACATTTTCTCAATTATATTTTTTTTATTTTTATTTTAAATGTTAACAATAAACTTACTCTTTTTGGACCAACAACAACACGTCCTTCACCAAGATGATTAAGTATAAGTGCCTGCTGCCCCTCTAATATTGTTTGAAACTTCATAGTTACAGGCATTGGTTCTTGTTGAAAAAAATGAATATACTCAAAGGAATCCGAGTTTCTCATGGACATAAGGAGTTCTTCTCTATACAATGCAAGACATCAAAGCAACACAATTTTAAAATCTATGAAATATAAAAAATCAAAGAAAGCTTAGAAAGAACTCCCATGTGCTGAGAGTATTGGAGACACATTAAATATAATTCGAAATTACTTAGCTGAAAACTAATTATGCAAATCAGAAAATTAATATGACCAGATTTGAGTGTAAAACTAATGAGGTCTGCGCAATGTAACAGAAAATCTATGTCTCCAAGTTTAATTGAAATGTGATTAGAACCAAAAAATTATGAATTATTATGCTTATTAGGGAATTAATATGAACAGATTTTTACCCCAAACTAATTAGGTTTGTACATTGTCCTAGAGCATCTTTGTACTAAGTTTCATTGAAATGGAATAATTAGCACCGTGAAAACTCCAAAATTTCGACCCCTCTAAAAATTTGACCGCCTATTTATTTGCCGGGTTTCGGTGTTTTATTTACCTCCAAATTTTCGACTCCACTAAAAATTG